ATGGTTACAGTGTATCAAGACAAGTCCAGACAGGAGTGTGAAGTGCTCCAGAAACTCAGAAGGGGAGCCCCACCTTGTTGCTAAACATTGGCAGCCAAAGGGGTGAGCTATCACTCTGCAGATGTGCAGAGGCTAGAAAAGAAACATTACCTGAAAGATTTGATGTAGATAAAGAACAGAATTATTTCACTTTAAGAATAACTTTATTGAGATAGTATTCACACCTCTAAGTCACCCCTTTAAAATACACAGGTGAGCAGTTTTTAGTGTATTTATAGAATTGTGTAACCACCATCACTACCTAGTTTTAGAACATGTTGGTTACCCCAGGAGAAATCCCCATGAGCAACCATTAGTTCTTCACAATCCCTAGCCCTAAGCAACCACCCGTCTACTTTCTGTCACTCTGGTCTTGCCTGTTCTGTACATTCACAGTAATGGAATCATACATGATTTGCTTTTGTTTCACTGGGCATGTTTTTAAGATCCATCCATATTGTAGCATATATCAGTATTTCATTCATTTTCATTGCTGAATCAGATTCTGGTGACACACCTTTGTAATCCTAGAGACTCGAAAGGCTTAGGTAGGAAGCTTGCAAGTTCAAGACCAGCCTCAGTAACTTAATAAGACCCTGTCTCAAAATAAAAATAAAAAAGTTTGGGGATGTAGCTCAATGGTAAAATGCCCTTGAATTCAGCCCCTAGTACCAAAAAAAAAAAAAGGGGGGGGGGGGAGATCCTACTGTATAGATAGATGTACCACATTTTTTTATCCCTTTACCAGATGAAGGATATTTAGATTATGTCTATCTTTTGGCTATTATAATGCTGCTATGAACATTCATGCACATGATTTGATGTGGACGTGTTTTCAGCTCTCTTGTGTCTACACCCAGGGGTGCAACTGCTAGATCATATGGTAACTCTGTTTAACCTTTTGAGAACTGCTCAACTCTTTTCCAAAGTGGCTGCACCATTTTTTCTTCTCACCAGCAATACAGAAGGGTCTCAGTTTCTTCCTAACCTCACCAGTACTTGTTATTGTCTGGAAATAAAACTGTTTTCAATGAAAATATAAAGTCATTAAAACAGAAAATACCAATTAGATTATGTTATACTCATTGAAGATGGCCCATATGTAAATCACATGACATTAGAAATTTAAAACCAAATGCCACTTTGTATCTCTGTATACAAAACAACTCATTGGAGTCTAATTACCTTATCATTAATGTTCACCAGGTGGTTGGGAAATGCAGGTTTTCTTTTATGTCTAATTGAGAGGTAGAGAGTGGTGAAATGATTACATGTGTGATGCTGTTGAGAGTCAAATCCGTTTCTGACACGCAATTAAATATAATTGAAATAGGACAAATTGAGTAACAACATTAAATTTGCAAAATAGGAATGAGCAGATATTATTAAATGTATGCCATTCTCTAGGAGTTGGGTGATGAGTTGGCATTAGGGCCAGAGCCCTGGTATTTTTATTTACTTGGGTTAGTTCCCATCCGCCCACACTTGCCTCCCATACTAATCAAAGGAGTTCATGAGACATTCCCCAGTAAGCATCCTGTGCAGAGAGGATTTTATTTTTTAATGAAGTGCTAGAGTTTAATGTGGTCAGGAAGGAAAATGATCCTTGGGGCTTTCTTAGACTCAGGCTTGTTTTTTATGATCTGGGAGACCTGCCATAGGTACTATAAAAACAAAAATGTAAATCTAGACAGTCACTCTGAGCCCAATTGTCTAGCTCTTCCGTGGCTTCCCGCGACCTATTATTGTGTCACATGCACAAAAGGCTTGACTCTATCTCTATCTGCATCTTGAGCCTCAGCTGCTCCCACTTGCAGGTGCTAAAATGTTTGTGGGTCCCAGTGTACACACTGTGATCTTCCCACCCTCTGCTCCTGTGGCGTTTCCTCTGGTGGGAGTTACCCTCTCTCTGTGCATGACTCGATTCAGGCTCCACCTCCCTGGGAAGCACTTAAGAGTGCTTAAGTGATGCTGGTCCAAGGCAGAACACTGAGCTGGAAACTTTGTTCACTGAGAAGAAGAAAGGAAAAAGAAAACACCAGAAAACGTCCCTGGAACTTATTTATGTCTGAAAAAGACAGAAATTAAACAGTAAACATGATAACTCCATAGGTTCCTTGTGTAGTGGAGGTAGTAGGTCTAGGAAATACCAAGAAATGAAGCAGAGGAATGGGAACAGGAATGTCCAAGGGGGAAAGGTGAGCACTAGGTTAAATAGGGTGTAGGTGGGCTTCACCTAGAAAGCCGGAAGGGGATGAGGGATCAGCAGCATGAGCTTTCTAGGTAGAGCCAAGAGCCAGCCCCAGACACTGCTCCATTGCGAGATCATGTGTTAGGCTGTCAACCTCCAGCCCTGGGGGAGTTGATTGGTGAGTTCTCCAAGAATCTTTCTGTAGACTAATGTATATTTCCATTTGGATCTTTTAAATTCTAAAAATAGTTCCAAGGCAGCTCTCTCCTTTGCCCTTTTCCCTCCCACGTCTCTTTCCAGCACACAGGGTTGGACTATTAATAGCCCAGAATGTCCCCTCAGGAGTACTCCACACTTCAGTCACAAGATCCCGTGAGCTCCCTTCTGCACTGAAGGATCCAGATTTGCCCTCTGAAATAAAAGCCCCATAAGCATTTCTTGCTCCCAGAGGACCAGCACTGTGTCTCCTTTTCCTTTTGGGGTTCACATTCTGTTACGTGACTTCTTTTCTTGGCCTTTCATCTCTGTCCTCATGGTTACCTATTAGTGTTCTCTGGTTTCTCTTTTGTGCTGTCTGTGAATTCTTCCCCCTGCTGGCGAAGACGTGGCCTTTCTTCACAACCCCCTGACTTCCCTTCCCAGAAGAGTCTAGCACAGCCCTCCCTGCACATCACTTTAGGAATCTTTTAGTGCCCTCACATTGACTAATTAGATTTTGGTGGTTTAAGTCCTCGTGACCATTAAAATTAATTTTTTTCTTTCTTCTTTTTCTCTTTTGCTGTAATACATGTTGTTTTCTATTGCTTTTTCTTTTCTTTTCTTTTTTTTTTAACACAAATGATTTTTTACATCATTGTGTTCCCAGCTGGCTTTGGAAGTCAATACCAGGAATGTTTTTATCCCCTTAGTGCTTCTTTGCTCTAACAACACAATAATCTCAGTTAAAAGAATTGGCTCAACACCTGTGCTTATTTTTATATTTCTGGATGGAAAATGTAATTTTTCCTTTTCGCTTGCGTCTCTTTTATTTCCGTGTATCAGAAACTTTAAATGTCAGAAGATAATCTTTTTTTCTTTTCTTTTTTCATGGAATGTCACACCTGGAACTTCTTCCAAAGCTGCATTTCTGAAGTACAGATAGTGGCAGCTTTGTCCCTCTTCTCCCTCGATAGTCATTTCATGCTCATTGGAGATAAGCGATCTGCAGATTTTGTTGACTTGTGATTGCTTCATAGTCAGTCTTCCGTTTTATAGATGCTAAGAAGTACACATAAATTTGTCTATGGCTTTTAGAAAAGGTTTTAATTTCATCCTTTATCCTATATTTTATCACTGGATTGTGGGGGTTTTTTTGCCTAATTTTATTCTCTTATTTAATTTTTTTATCAAGGTAATAATGGGACATAGTCTTAAGGCCAAATTATTTACAGTGCTTATCACAAAAATTAGCACTTTGTCCCCCAATCTCTCATTACTCCTTGCCTGCTCTTCTTGACCCTTGGCACCTGTGACAGTCTCTTTCCACTTCATTACCAGACTTTTTTTGGTGTTTAGCTCCATATCTTTACGTGAGGTGATGATTCCAGCACTTTTTTTCACTTTCTGCTTTTTTTATTGACTGTGGAAGATGAGGATTTAGCCTGCAAATAGCCTGTCAGTTTAACATAGTTAGGTCAAACTCATTTTTTAAAAAAATAGTAGTTATGTTCAGAAAGAAAATTTTTTATTGATTTTAAAATACCAGAACTCCTCAGACCAGAGTTCTAGAAAACAACAACTGAGTTTTCATAGTGCATTGCAGGGAAATGCAGTAACAGAAAATATTAGAGCCAGAGGTGTGGAGATATGTATAATTTTAAGAGGATAACCCTACTAACAATTTTGATTTAGCTAAAATGTTAAAATAACAAATGAGAAATCTTCATTTACCACTTGTTGCAGTAGTAGTCACTGAATGAGTTTTGTTTTCAAATTCTAGTCAATTAGTCTTAATCACTGAACATTTCCTAGGAGCTGGGGTGAAAGTTTAGCCCTACTTAATAGATTTGCATGAAAAACCTCACAAGGGAAAAAGTAGTAATTGCCTCAGAATGAGAGGTGGAACATATTTTAAGATACTTGGAGATTGTCTCATATGTGTTCTCTTTGGTTTAATTTTGATTTCATATATTTTAATTTGTTTCTCTCTTTTTTCCTTAATGTATCCTAAAGAATGTGAAACACTGACAATCTCATTCCTGATTTTCTTCTTCTGTACCACTGGATGCACTTTTTTTTTCCTGTCAATGTTATAAGAGAAAAGTATCTTGGATCAGGGTATTGTAATTTAACAACCTGATATTAGTGGCAGCTCCAAAGGTATATTTTGTGTAAGTTCAAATACATTGTAACAGGGCTGGAGGACATAGCACTGTGGTGAGCACTTGCCTAGCATGTGCAAGGTCCAGGGTTCAATTCCCAGTACCACAAATACAAAAAATACTCTGTAACATTTTACCCAGGTAAAGTTCCTACTTTTTTGGTTCTTTTCTCTTCCTCCTCCTTCTCCTCTTTTATGTTTTTGCATATTTAAGTTCTGCAGAATCACCTCTTTGCTCCTATTCAAATTTTTCACTGTTCAGATCTATCAACCTTACATTTTCACTTCTAACTTAACTTAAATGCTGGTTGTTAATCATTTCCTTCCCAGCTATACTCAGAGTGATCTAACTGAAGATGTTCTGTGCTGAACACGAGGTTACAAATTCAACTTTTGCTTCTTTTTGCAAAGGCACTGAGACGTGAGTTGAAGGAGAAAGAGTATTCTGTCCTGAATGCAGTGGATCAAGCTCGAGTTTTCCTGGCTGATCAGCCAATTGAGGCCCCTGAAGAACCAAGAAGAAGCCTACAGTCAAAAACAGGTGAGACTGGTTCCTTTAATACATCACAAAAACACATGTTAGGAGAACAAAACCATAATCAAGTAGGGAATTTCCTTATAGTATTCATGATCTAATAGTTTAAACTTTTCTTTAAAGTATTACCTTCATTGAGTATATATTTAACAAATATCCAGATTCAAGTTAATTAATAATTGCAAATGGGAAAATTATTTAAAATATAATATTAAACAAAAAATATTTAAATCTAAAGTAAGTTTTTAAAAAAAACTTCCGTCAACTTGAGACACAGCAAAGTGCCCTTGTTTTTCTTCAAGCAGATAATAGCATTAAATTTAAAAATAAAAACCTATAGCATTTAGGCACTGTGGCTCAAAATTGAAACAGGAACTACCTTATTGGCAAATAACAATCTGTCACATAGTACATTTAAGAGAAAATTTGTAATAAATTTTGAGGCCAACATTTTTTCTTTTGGTTTTTCACTGTTGAACATTAAAAGCATTCTGATGCATTTTTAAAAATAGACTCGCCATTCAAAATATTTTCCATTGTTCACTTCACATGGCAAAAGCAAACCTGAAGAGTGCCTCATGCTATGTGCAGCTTGTAAACCATGAACCTTTCTGACTTGTAAGGGAAGCACAGTTGGAAAACACTTTCCTTGACTATAGCGGGGACTGGCTTAGACTTTTGCAAGGCAGCCATGCCTTGCTGAACCTTATTTATGGAGGAAGCTCCTCTCAGTCTGAGTAATTTCCCATCATGGCTCTGATTTTCTTGACTCTTTGAACCTAGTTGTATGTGTGTGTACGTGTACAGCACATGGCACGTGCACACACATACAGTCATTTCACATTACTTTTTGTTTTCTGCTACTGGTATTGCTCCTTTCTAGTTAGCCTACTGGGGAGAAAGTCACTGTTGAGTCTCCCACCTTTCATCAAACCCCACAAATCACTCCTAATTGTTATTTCTATCTTTGAAGAATGATTGTTTCTGAGGACAGCTGCTCCTACCCTCTTCCCCATTTCCTTGGGTTCTGCATTTAAAAATTTCACTAACTATGGGTTGAAAATTTTTGAAAAAAATATCTCATTTTCCTTGTCATTATTTCCTAAACAATAGAGTATGACAGCTATAAAGCCATGTACAGTACATTAAGTATGAAAACCATTTATAAAGCATGTACAGTGCATTAAGTATTATGAGTAATCTAGAGATAATTAAAAGTATGCAGGAGGATATTTATAGGGTATATGCAAATACAGTGCCATTGTATATAAGGAACTTGAGTATCCATCTTTTTTTTTTTTTTCTTGGTGTCTGTGGGATATGCTGGAACCAATGCAAATCAAAAGGGATAATTGTACAGTTATAGATTTATTATGTACACACCCAACACATGTATACAGACAACAGACCCATGCACTATTATTAATGCCAGATTCTCAGCTTGCTGTCCATAGTCTTGGGATAGTTTTAGCACTTGTCAGTTCGTTTTCTGTCCCCTTATATATCATGCAGTATTTGCCCCTGTGGTTCCCTTCTTCATGTTGGCCTATTCATGATGATGAGTGAAATCTTTTAGAATCACATTCATCTCCCTTTCCTGATTAAACATCCCCACTGACTTTCCATTCCATACTGAAAAAAAACTTTTACTCTAGCATGACATTTGAAAATCATTGCAATCAAAGCCTTCCTGAGTTACCCAAACCAATTTTTTTTCTTAAGATTTTCATAGTTCCATACCCAATGTGTATTATCTACTCAGTGATTTTTGGAACTCTCTTGTCAGAGTTATGCTCAATTTTCTTTTTCCATTTTTAAATTTTTTGAAAAGAATATTTTAAAGATTGCTTATATCCTTAATATAGACTATCAGAAGGTTTAAGATCTTTAGAAATGAACTACTACAGATTTGCTCACCTTACAGGTGAGAGACTAAGGACCACTGAGAGGAGACAACCTGCTCAGGACCCAGTCCAGTCCTGTTGGATACCCAACATATACTGTTTTCATTTTTATTGGTTTATTTTCAGATGTTAAAATTCATCTATTTGCCCTGAGTTGAAGACTCTAGCTTTAATAATTTTGTATCCTATGCAGTGCCTACATATATTAGGCACTTGGTCAATGTTTGATGAACAATATGTGACTACCAGTATAAAAGCAAGTGCTATAAAGAAACTGACTTACTATTCGGACTCTACATATGCTCTACTACAGGAGCATTTTTGTGAGCTAAATGACTAATAATGACCCCCATCATCACCAAGTTTCAAATCAAAGAAAATGAACACAAACTACAGGGAGTTTCTTGGAAGAGCTAAACTCATGGCACTTGCTCTTCCTCAAGTTTTGAGTCCATAAAGCATAACCAGGTGGGAGAGAAACTGGTATGATGAGCGGTGGTGATGGGTGGTAGATGAGTGGTTTTTAACATGAAATGGAAAGAAACCCCAGCTCTTCTAGAAGAAGCGATCAGTGTCTCTGGAGTTCCTTTCCCTTATCTATCCCCAAATTCCTGCCCTCTCCTGCCATCCTGACTCTGCCCCCCCCATACCCCTATGCCAGTCTTTGCATCTTGTCCCACACAGCTCTGACCTCTGGGTTGCTCAGGTCAGAATCCTTTGGGCCACTCTGGCTCCTTTAGTGGTTAAATCCACTCCATTAGCAACTCCTGTTGTCACTACATTGGGAATATACTAGAATCTGATCCTTCATTACCTCTTCACCACTAGGCTAGCCTTTTTTGTATTTCACCTGCCCACAGTGTATATTATCTCATATCCTCATTTCTAGGCCTGGGAAATGTAAACTCCAAGAAGACACAGTTTTTGTTCATTGTTTTTTAATGCTGTATTTTCTAATGTCTAGAATACTGTCTGGCACATCTGGCACATAGTAGATACTTCTTGCATACTGATTGAGTGAATCGACACGTCAGGTGAGAATTGTCAGGATAGATAAAAAAGCATAATCCCAGATATTCTTGAGAAGGGTTCAGGTTAGTTGGAGACCAAAACCAGCAGAAAATGGTGAGAAAGCAAGCAATAAAGTGCTTGGTTGTACATCCCAAGAGAGAAAGAGTCTGAGGGTCAGAGTAGAGAAGGTGGTTCCTAAGCCACTCTTATAATGTGTTGGGAGGCAGTGATTAGGCTCCAGGAAGATTGACGTCCGTGCTAGGACAGATCCTATGACAGTGCAGCCTTAGGGAACAGAGAAGCTGTGTGTTGGGGAAGGAGCAGCCCAGCCCAGTAGTCAGAGGCCTGTACCTAGTCAGGAGGTGGGATGGGAAAGTCGTGTGTGCCATGTGGCTCAGAATGCAGAGGATCTGGAGATTTGGGTAGGATGTTTCAACTTCATCTGACAGAAAGAAGACACTAGTATAGGTTTGTCTTTTTGTTTATTTATTTAAATTTATTCATTTATTTATTTTGCATTACAATTCTTAATACACCATTATACAATAATTTAACGTATCTCTGATTATATATAAGGTATGTTGACACCAAATTCACATCTTCATGCATGTATTTTGTATAATGATGAGGATCCTTAAATGTGGGAGAAAAATAAGAAATTCTCTTGTCTGCATTAATTTAATTTAAAGAGTCTTTCTGAATCTGCTTTCTTATCTCCTTGCTTTCCTAGGCCTTGGCAGAGAAGGGAGGAACAGCTTTTATAACCAGCTGTTTTATGGCAACATCAAGGTTGTCACATCACTCTAACGTCACCTTGCCATAGGTTCTTCTCAGTGATCAGTCACTTAAGGGTTAAAAAGATGCTGCTTTTGAGTTCTCAGTTTGCTGGTATTTTCAGGATATTTCTAAGCCCAATTCAAATACCACCTGGGGGGGATGGGCAAGAGAAAAAGTTATGTCAATTTAACTTTATGGGCTTTTTTTGTTTTGTTTTACGATTGGCAATTTCCATATTCTGTCCTTTCTTGATATTATTTCTGTTATGCTGGCTGATTTTACCTGCTGTTAAAAGTAAATGAAAGAAAATTATCCATAATAGCTTTTACACTTTTGTTGTTTACCATGACTCATGTGTCACTGCTATCAGAAACAGACAGCATTTGAACATTAGTTATCCTTCGTGACACCCAAGGGCTCAGTGTTGGAGGCATTAGCACCTAGAGAAACTGTATTATGGTTTCTTAGTTCTGTTTAATAAGCATTTTTGAATGTGTTGTGTGCACCATCCCCTAGGGGACCAAGATGGATCCATCTCTTTACTTTTAATTCCAGAAAACACTTCTCTTCATAATTTTCCTCTCCCCAATGCTTTTTTTTTTTCTCTTCTCTATGTTTTTTTTTTTTTTTTTTTCTTTTTTCCCCTATCATCAATTTAAGATATCTTAAAGTATTCTGGCTTTTTATTTGTTTTAAATTGTTATTTTAATTATACAAATTTGTGAGGCATGGGGGTGACAATTTGATAGATACATATATACGGGGTGCACTGTTCAAAGCAGGGTATGTACTTTTTAATTTTTTAAAAATCACTACTGATATTACCATCCTACATTAGACCCTTACTGTCCTTTGTGAGACTTATTTCAGTACTTTTTTCACTGACACTCTGTTGAATGATGTAAAACACAGAATTGGCATTTGTTTCTGTGATTTAAACTCCCCCTGGAGTGGGGTCCAGGCTCCTTGCCCTGCCCATTGGAGTCTGCACTGTGATTTGGCCTCTGCTTTTCTGTGACTTCTGTCATGCCCTTTCTGTTCCACCCACAGTGTCCACTGGACACCAAACTTCTCATGACGCTGTGCAGTAAAGGTCTTCCCAGCCTTCATCCTGCTGTCCATCCTGATCTTCCCGCCTATAGATGCCTCCTGCCTGGCCCAGCTCAGGCTGCTCTTCCAGATACTTTCCCTTCCAACACTCATCCATGATTCCATGGCATCTTGTCATATCTCTCTCTCTCTCTCACCAAATCTGTGCTGGAAACTCGGCCCTTTCCCTGTTCCTTAATGGCCATTTCCATTTATTGAGAATCT